ATCGCGGCAGCGGCAGGTTTCTTAAAAACTCATCGCGGCAGCGGCAGAGTTTCAGCCGCGATGGGCATCTCTGGACTGAACCAACGAATAAAACAAACAAAAAAGATAATGCTCTTTTTACCAATATTTATCTTTCATGAAAACAACGGCAAGAGACAAAATAAGCAGTAATCAATGAAGTATGTTCAACAAAAGGGATGTTAGAGGGGAAGCAGTCAAAACTAAATAGGTCTAGAAAAGATCAAATGCAATTGGGCGTCCGAATACTTGTTACGATTCTTTTGTCATTTTTGTGAAACAAAATCTAAACGTAATGTTGAAGTATAAAGAGTAGAAATTTGTGCTATCACGGGCCATGATAGACAGCAGAGATGTCCATCGCGGCGCTGCCGCTGCCGCGATGACGGTGGCGGCGCGGCAGGTTTTTTAAAAAATCCTCGCCGCAGCGGCGCGGTAGCGGCAGATTTTTTTAAAAGTCATCGCGGCAGCGGCGCGGTAGCGGCAGGATTTTTTTTGGAGGACATTGAAAAACTGTATGAATTTAATAAAATTTCAGGATTTACAAATGAAACGCCCTGATATTGAATAAATCTGATGGACTAGTACCCATATCTCTGGTCAAATATAGTCACAGCAGTGGAATTAGAAACACTTTTTTGAAAACCGTCGCGGCAGCGGCGCGGTGGCGGTACGTTTATTTTATAATTCATCGCGGCAGCGGCGCAGCAGCGTTTCTTTTATAAGTCATCGCGGTGCGGCAGCGTCGCGGCAACATTTTTTTATAAACCGTCGCGGCGCAGCAGCTTTTTTTTTCTAAGGTCGCGGCGCGGCAGCGGCAGATTTTCAGCCGCGATGGACATCTCTGATAGACAGTACTATAGAAAAATCATAAATTGTAGCAACACTCCCTCTTTAACTTGTGATAATAAATGAACTGATTCCTTATGGTATTTCCAACAAAAAATAGATTCTTGCTAAAAAATTTTGAAAACTGAACGTCTTTGGGGTCAGTCAAATCTAAGTGGAGAGATCAAAAGATTTGGGTTTTTTTGCCTGTACGTCCTTTATAGATCACCACCCCTATCAAAAATAATGTTCTAAATTACTATTTCAACAATCTCATCCAAATCTCGTTATATTAATAATGCACACAAAAGACTTAGGAATATATTCTTCAGAATATTTCAGAGAATTGTCTCAATTGTTTTTTATTGCTAAATATGATCTTTTACCAGCTGCTGAAGTGATAGATATTCTTATCACATCCTGTACTATTGAAACAATATTTAAAAAAAAACAGTTTATATTTCATTTGTAGAGTAGATGTAATTTTCATACAATAATTTAAAGACTATAAAAGTACTAGAGAGAAAGCTGAACTTTTTCGTCCAACCGCGTTAGTTTAATATCATCATACGTTTGATTTTTGTCATTCTTTAGATAAAATAATCGAACAATCAAAATCAGATCTTAATATTTTACATAAATATTATTGTTATTTACAATCATATAATCAACAATTACAACAATTAATTTCATTTAAATCTCTCGAACATAATGAATATCTTAATTCACAAAGTATTTCAAATCGATGTACTAATTTTCAAAATCAACTTAGATTAGAAATGAAAAAAAATTTTAATCATATACATTATTGGCATATATTTATGATAAGTGCACCAGATAAATTTAATAATATATCAAAATTATTTTTATTAAAAAAAAAATTTGTTCATAAAACAAATGAACTTATAAATTTAAAAAAGATCTTCTATGAAAAAGAAACTTTATATCGTTATGTAAATAATATTTATATACGAAGACAAAAACTTCATGAAAAAATTAATGTATTCAAAAATGAGTTTATTAATAAAAAAAAAAAGGATATTGTGAAATAAAGTAAACTTAATTTGAGAATTGTTAAATTTTCATAAGAGAAAAAGAAAAATAATTTTAAATGCTTACTATTGTGTAATAGTCTGAATAATTGTTTAAACAATATCATTCTACAAAATTACGATCTGAAACCGAGAAAGAAGTACTGAGTAGAAAAATAACCATGTTATAGCGTTAAATAACGTATATTTTAATGCCTCACATGTAAAGCAATTTTTAGTATTATTTATGACCGTTTTACATCATTATCATATTTACCATTTATAGGTATTTTCATACCATTTTTATTCCTGCCTAATTCATCGATTAATTTACATCATATTAATCGATTGTTTAAACTGTTATCTTGTTAAATAATATGTTGAAATTAATTGAAAATATATAAATGCTTGAAGTTAATTTATAAGTCTAAATCTTGATTATAGGATAGACAAAATGATATCGATCATTTTCAAAGGTAGGACTTGATAAAAATAAAACGTCTTATAAATTAAATTATTTTTGGTTTGATTTACATTAATAACTATTAGATTTTTTCATTTATATAGACTGAAACATATCGATTGAATTGGTTATCCTAGTCTTTTGCTAATGAGATATTATAATTCAATGTCCTCCTTGCAACTACAAGAAGATACAAGAAAAAGCAAAATTAGGTGAAAAAATTAGACTGGATAAAAATCTAGTATCTTCATAATTTACAATTAATTCGAACTATCTTTTGCTATTTGCTTAACTTATTCCATATTGATGCCAAAGTTTATTTTTTCTCAAATATAAATCTCCTTCAATATTTTCATTTGATCTTTTTTCCTTTTTTTTTTGAAGCTTACAAAGTACACGAATTTCTTCTTGTATTGTGATTGAATTTTTCATTTAGTGGATTGTTAAAAAGCAAGATTTGAAATCCAATAGATTGAATTTATCATCTTCATTAAGAGATCGATTGCTCTGTTTTCGACTAAATATGCTCGAATTTTATGCTTGACTTGAAAAAAAAAACAAATCAAATAGTGTTTTTCGTGCATCAAGCAAACGATTTGATTCGACATACACACACATTGTACATAGGTGATTTCATTTTCTTCTCTTTTTCTTTCTTCATTTTTTGTATCATTAGAGAAAAATCATGTCATGTTTTATCTCTTATTCTGTCACATGACTAATTACTTGTTTTATAAATCTCTTTCTTTTTTCTTCTCATTGTTTTTCACCTGTAGTTATTAGCATGAAATAGGAAAATGTCCGTTCCCTATTTTGATTGTAATCTGATTCATACAAGACGAATTGATTTTGTATATATAGTCTGCATGTTTGAATTTATTTCGTACATCATCGAACGTCGCAATATACAAGGTAAAGACGATTTTCGAGTGTCTTATGAAGTAATCATTGTGGTCATGATATTTGATGGATAAATACTTTACTTATATTTTGTTACTCTGGACAGATTTGTCTGGCATCAAGTGTTGTATTCTATTTTTGTAGTGAATTGAACGCGCTTAGTTTATAGATATTGTTAATAAATAATATCTAAATGTTCGTTTATATAGTCAATAACTATCTTTAAATGAAACATCATTTGTTAGAAACGCTCACACTATTTTAACTAATAGAACTGCTATGATAGTGACAATACAAACGAGTATTCGCATAGTAATACTCGTTTTATTCTTCGTGACATTCAGAATTTGATATATTTTACTATCAAATAAACACTTTCAAGTAAGAGATATTGACTGTAAACCAATATTGATCTTTTACCATTTCCAAAATATATTTCAGATAATTACATGTAGTTCTATAATTAGATGAAGAAATACGAAAACCTAATTCTGTACAGTTGAACCTTAATTTGATAAGATCAGTTTCTTACCATATCAATGATGTCGTTGATGTATTTATAAATATATTTATTTTCTTTTGTTCTGTTGAACTGTGTTCGAAATATATGAATGAACATTTGAAATCTTTAATTTCACACGATGTAAAGAATATGATAAGTGAATTTGTCATTCTTGTCTTTAGGGTCCATCGGGTCCAAATCGAGAAAAAACTTTTTGATGGATATGATGATATTTTATAAATTTTTTAAAAGTACATTAAGAGATTCAAGAGTACCGCTCAAGTCCAGACCCACACAAGAATGAAACAATCAGGTCCAACTCGAGAAATTCTCGTACCTAATATGTCCTACTTTGTCTAACATCTGCTGTTTGATAGTTTTATTTGAGGAAGAAATGAATAGTTTCATAGTTTCTAGAACTACAAGTATTTCATATTCGTTATCATCTATTGCTCCTATGGCAAAGGATAGAGAATTGATAGATTCAATATACCAAAATGATTATGCTACTCTTCTTTTATATAGATCTTTGTTGAGAAATCTGATCAAACAATTGATTTTTTTTTTTGAAATGTATGCAACCTCATCTTCTATTTAATGCCAAAGTCGGAGCTTTTTGCTTTTCCATAGTTTTACTAAATGAATAATATAAAACAAGTGTGTCATTGAGTTTCTTCACAGTAGCAAATGCGAGTTATTTCTAGCAGTTAAGCATTGAAATATCATTAGATAAACTCAATGCATATTTCTATTATCCAAACCTAACATTGAGCTAGAAAATAAAAATTAAACAAAATAAATTCTTAAATATTGTCTCTCTTGTTAATGATAGAAGAAATACAAGATTTACTGACAAAAAAAAACAATCAGTCAAAGAGAAAACATTTTCATCCTCAAATTATTTGTTTCTAGTTCTCTTATGTATGTCTCATATTATTATGATGCATAAAATTCAGTACTTTACTTTTTTTTTTTGAATTAACACTATGATACATTATTTACTTGATAACTAGATTGAAAAGATTTTTCTATAGTTTTCAGTATTTATTTAC